CAGGTGTTCATGCTAATTGCTTCTTTAAATCCCACATCTACGGCTGGAGCAAGAATGCTCTGGTGGGGTAAGACTGGGGGCAGAGACCAGTGAGGCTGAGCAGGAATCTGGACAAGACACAGAGGGCCCTACATCAGGGAAGGGACTTGGGTGGAGACCCAGAGTCAGAGCTGAGCTACTGCAGATGCAAAGCCATGGATCCAGTGATGGATGGGGGAGGGAGAGAGAGGGAAACAGGGATGCCCCTCACGGAGATGGGGACCCAGAGTGACAGATAGCAGAGTTCACAGGAAAAGGTAATGGGTTTGGGAGAACCTGGCAAGTCTGAGCCCCCTGGGGGCATCCTGGGAGCCATATCCTACATGAGTTGGGGCCGGGGTCACAGGCAGATGGATGGTGAGGACACTAGAGAAGCTGAAGGACCTCTCAGGAAGGTGAGCCTAGACTGGAGCCCTGAGGTCACCACCATTCATGGAGCACCTTGGGAAGGAGAAAGTCCAGGTGGGGGGCTGGGTGGGGCTTGTAAATGATCCCACCTGTGTTTTGATGGGGCTACGGGTGCACAGAGGGGAAGGGGCTTCAGCCAAGGCTCATGACAGTGCTGCTCGCCTTGGGGATAAGAAAGAATCCAGGCACTTAGGAGCCCTGATAACAATATCCTTTATAACCCATCCACCCAACCTCAGACATGGGACTGGCCAACAGGAAGGAAAAGGCAAGAACAACTGTTCTGGGACAGGGGCCAGCCTCTACTGAGGATCCTCGAATTTCTTATTTTGCTTCCCCTCCAGACCCTTTGGTCCTAGCGACCCCTACAGCTTGTCGGCTCTAGCCCTCTGGGCCCCAGAGGAGGGCACTCTGCTGGCCCACCCATCCTAGAGCAGAGGGTTCAGGTCCTGGGGTCTCCTTCAGGGGATGTGAGATGGAGCCTGTGACCCAACCTCGGGCCTGGGAGTCACAGGAGGTTGATGTTCCTTTGGGTCTTTCCCTGACACAGGGGTGCATGCAGGGCAGGCCCTGAGCCTGTGATCCCGACCCTGCTTTGCATCAGAACACCTGAGCTTTGCAAACATATCCCTCTGCAAATTGGGGTTCAGCTCTGGCAGCTTACTAAGAGCTCCTTGGCCCAGGAGAACCCGTGATCTACTCCGAGTGCCTCCTGCTCCCAAAGAGACAACTGCGGGGGAGGCCACTGTGTGCCAGGAATAGAGGAGAAAACCCCACCTCTTCCTGAGCAGTCTCAGTCCAGAGGGCAGATGAGGGCAGGAGAGCCCCGAGGCCCACAGCCCTGCTGGAGAAGCCCCCTCTGGGGCCGTGGGAGCTCCGAGGGGACACCAGCCTGGAGGGCGGAGCAAGCAGGGAAGGCTTCTAGGAGGTGTGGTTGCTTGAGCCCACCCACGAAGATGAACCTCCACCGTCGGACACTGGTTTAGGACCTCCCTGCATGTCTCAGGTGCACCACGCTGTCAGTCCTGTGTGAATCACCCTCCGTGCACAGAGCAGCCTAGCTCAAGGTCATGCCCCATCCCAGAGGGGCCACACCCAATGCCTGCCTGGCGGGGAGCTATGAAGTCCCCACCCCCTTGGCTTCCCCAGGATCCAAAGGCAAGGTGTCCAGGTCTCAGAGCTCCCTGCGGCCAATCTTGTTCCCTGGCTTTGCTCACAGGGGTTGATACTGTGATCACGCTGTGGGAGGGCAAAATAACGACCCCCCCCAAACATGTCCTCGCCCTAATCCTCAGAACCTATGAATACGTTCCCCCCCACGACAAAGGGAATCTGCAGATAGGATTAAATTAAGGAGCCTGATGGGGCACCTGGGTGGCTCAGTTGGTTAAGCGTCTGCCTTCGGCTCAGGTCATGGTCCCAGGGTCCTGGGATCAAGCCCCGCATCGGGCTCCCTGCTCAGCGGGAAGCCTGCTTCTCCCTGCTTCTCCCTCTCCCACTCCCCCTGCTTCTGTTCCCTCTCTCGCTGTCTCTCTTTCTGTCAAATAAATAAATAAAATCTTAAAAAATAATAAAATAAAATAAATTAAGGAGTCTGAGATAAAAGATCATCCTGTATTACCAGAGAGGGCCTAGTGTGATCACCAGGGTCCTTTTTAAGGAAAGAAGCAGGGGAGAAGTCAGAGTCAATGTGGGTGGCGGCAGTGGCTGGAAGGATCAGGGCCACAGACCAAGGCACACGGGCAGCCTGTTGGGGCCGGAAAAGGCAAGGAAGGGCTCTCCCCGGGGCCCCCAGCACCTTGACCTCAGCCCTAAGGCCCACTTCAGACTTCCCACCTCCAGAACTGCCATTGGGATTGTTTTAAACCACAAGTTGGGGGGGCTTGTTATAGGAGCAATAGCAAACTAATCCACACTCACTTCCTGCACACGGGTCTCTACCTCAGAGTTTGCTCCCTGTGAACCCTGACAGCACAATTTTTAAAAATTTTCCAACAGGAAGGAGATCAACCCAGTACCTCCATAAAACTGAACACTCTGGAGGTCTTATGAGAAATGACAGAATGAGGATAAAAGTAATAACTAAAAATACAGAATCCTTACCAGGGGCCAGTGGTGTTCTAAACACTTTATATATACCTTCTCATTTGATCTTCAAAACAACCTTTTTGTGACCTTTATTTTCCAGATGGGGAAACTGAGACATAGAGAGGTTGATGGATTGGCGCACGGTCACACAGTTGCTAAGTGGAGGGGCCTGGTGGTCCGTGACATTTTATTGAGTGAAAAAAAGCATGGCGCAAGATGATGCACATTACAGTTCTGCTCATGTAAGAATTATGTGTGTTTGAGTGTGACACACACAGACAGGAAAGACGCCTGGAAAGACAAACACCCAATTATCACTTTTTACTTCAGACACTTCCATATTGTTTCTCAATAAACACGCACTAATTCTGAAACTTAAATCAATAAAAAACCTTATATAATACTAGTCAGACGCTTAAAACCATGGACACACCTAAAAACTTCCCCAAGTCATTTCCTTGCAAGTGTCTGGTCAAGGGAAGATCTCTGTCCTCTTCTAAGACAATGCAACAAATATGACCCCACAAAGTGCCCCTCCCCAACAGAGCTGTTGCACTCTCTTGTGACAGTTTTGTGATCCTGGTGTTCTACCTGACCCTTCTCCACATCCCCACACACAGGCTGCTAAAGATGACATGATGAAGCCCATGGGGTAAGCGGGAAATTGCTCAGGATTTAACATTAGGTGAGAAAAGCGAGATACATAATTGTAAATTACAGATTATAATTGTATTGGGACTGGATTATGATTCTGTACAAAACAAGAGTGTGATTCACAGCAACTACAATGGAGGGACAGTGCCTTCTTCATATGGAGAACTCAGGCATACAAACTCATGAGTGGGCAAAAAATATAACCGGACATTCACATAAAGGTAAGCAAAATGTTTACCATAATTAAAGATAAAAGAACTGCAGTGGATAGTGGTAGACTGAATTTGACTCATCAGATTTGCAAGAATTTTGTAGAAGAAATGCCACCCAATGGCACAAGCATGCAAGGAGCCAGAGACATGGGGATCGTGGGCATGCAAGTAAGTGCATCTTCCAGGAAAGCAATTTGGCTGTAAGTGTCATGAGCTTGAAAAATGTTAAAACCTTGACCTTGTAATTCCATCTCTGGAAATCTAAGGGGACAATTAGAAATGCAAACAAATGTTTATATACGAAGATGTTCACCATAACACTACTTACAGTAGAGCAAACAGAAAACCTAAGTGCCCAATAAAAAGAAAATAAGCAAGTTAACCATTACATTGTACATTACAAGCCATGAAAAAAGTTATTAATGAAAAGTAATGATTACTCATAAAACGTTAAGTGAAAATAGAAGAATTCCAAGTAACTGCTATCATATAACTATATAAGGAGAAAATCATCTAAGCTGACAGAGAATGGAAAGCAATAATCCTTAACATTAATGTAAGTGGTGATTGGGGGTTTGCATTTGCTGTGAGCCCAGCTATGAGCTACACACTGCCGCATAAACAATGGGAAAATGAGATCCTCTTTGAGGAGTCCATTCTCTTCTCCTTCAAGCCCTTTTTCCTTCTCTTGATTTTCTGACTTTTTGGTAATATGGCGAGTATACTTTTATAATGAGAAAACACAGCATACATATCTTAAAAATTGAAAACACCCTCGAGCTCTCTTTGAAGCATTTCCTTCATTTGAGGCTGACTCTTCCGAGAGCATCCAGAACTGCCCCTCTCCAGACTGACCACTCCTGTCCTGGTTCATTGTGTTCTCTTGGTCTTTGCATCGTGTATCTTCAGTTCAATTCACTTCAACACAATGCACACTGTAGTGTCTACACTGTGCAGGGACACCTGATGTGAGTCCAAACAGAAGGGAGCTGGGATGGGATACAGAGATGGATAGACACAATCTCCCCCCCCACAGACACCATAGAGCTCAGGGTTTAACACAAGAGCCAGACAGAGAACCAGTGTCCCATAATCCAAGAACAATAGAGAAGCTGCTCCCAGAGTAACCTGATATGGATATTCAAGGAACGAGCAATTCTGGTTGGGGAAACTGGAGAAAGTGCGAGTTGAGCTTGGGTAGCCGAGGAGAAGAAAGGGCATTCCTAGCAGGGTGTAGAGCCTGAGCACAGGCCCAGCGGTGAAGCAGGTTTCAGGGGATGGCATCCAGGATAACAAGGACCCCAGATGTGTTTAGGTAGAGAAAGAGAAATGAGCCTAGATCAGCGAGGGCCTTGCATGCCAGGCTAAGGAAATCAGGCTTTCTTCTGTGAACAGGGGGATACCTCCAAAGGGCTTGAAGGAGAAGAGGACAGACTCCTCAAAGAGGATCTCGTTTTTCCATTGTTTATGCGGCAGTGTGTAGCTCATAGCTGGGCTCACAGCAAATGCAGATAAAGGGATTTTTAACTCCACATACTGAGGCCCACCAAAGAACCAGGGATTCCAGAACTATACCCCCATTCTGAGGCTTTAACTGACCTTTGTCCTGCACCAGCACCTCCAACTCCTCCCGAACACCATCGTACCAGCTTGTGATGTCCACATGGAGGGAATAGTCGCAGCAGGATTTGGTGTCAGCTGCTTCATGCCATTTCTCGAAGGATGTCAGCAGGCTAGACCCAGGTTCAGGGACGACATGGTCAACTGTGAAAGAAAAATATGCATCACATTCCAAAATGCATAGGACCCAAGCTATTCCAATGGTAGCCTCCAATAGCCTCTTCACCCCATCATCATCACCATACACATCTTCACTATCATCACCATCATCACCACCTTAATCACCACCCTCACTATCACCCCATCATCAACACCATCACCATCATCACCAGCATCCCAAACATCATCATCACCATCATCATCATCACCATCACCATCATCACCACCGCCATCATCATCATCATCATCACCACCTTAATCACCACCCTCACTATCACCCCATCATCAACACCATCACCATCAACAGCATCCCTAACATCATCATCACCATCATCATCATCACCATCATCACCATCGCCATCATCATCATCATCATCATCATCACCACCTTAATCACCACCCTCATTATCACCCCATCATCAACACCATCACCATCATCACCAGCATCCCCAACATCATCATCACCATCATCATCATCATCACCATCATCACCACCACCACCATCATAAGCATCACTATTATCACCATCACCATCATCATTCCTATCATGATCATCATAATCATCACCATCATCACCATCACACCATCATCACTATCATCACCACTGCCATCATCATCACAATGTTAATCACCACTATCACTATCACCCCATCATCAACACCATCATCATCACCACCATCACCACCACTACCATCACCATCATCATCATCACCATCACTATTATCACTATCATCACCATCACCACCCTCTTCATCATCACTCCCACCACCATCATTGTCAATATTGCCATCACTGTCACCATCATTACCATAACCATCAGCAATGACATAATCACCACCATTGTCATTGTCATCTTCAGCAGCAGCAGCAGCATCACAACTATTTATTGAATGCTTACTATGCCTCAGACACTGCCACAAGGCTTTCCATCAATTATCTCATTAAATCCTCACAACCAACCTGTGAAGTGAATATTAATATCTCCATTGGCAGAAGAAGAAACTGAGGCTCAAAAAGGGTAAGGAACGTGTCTTACAACTTACTTATACAACTAGGTAAGTGGTAGGAAGAAGGTCCAGAGTCCCATCAGCTGCAGTCTGAACCCTTTCCCACTACTCCATGCTGCCAGAGCTGGAAAGGTGCACAAGACCTTATAGACTAAAAGCATGTTAACTTCATCACTCCTTTCTAAAATAAGATCTTAAATGTAAAGCAAATGAAAGGGGAGACACCTGATTTTAAACCTCACTTGACTTTGCATATCCCTCTAGCTACTGCCCTGTTTCCCTAACAACCACCCTTCACAGCCAGACATCTATAAAAAGTAGTCCTTATTTTCCTCCAGCTCACTCCTCCACCCGTCTAAAGCAACAGCCTCTGCTAACTCAATCTCCACGTCTCTAGATTTAATGGAAACGTCCAGTCCTGACTCTACTGGACCTCCTGGGACACAGTGAATCACTCCCTCCTCTTGGCTCCCATGACGACATGGCTTTCTGGCTTTTATTCTACTTTTGTGGCCATTTTTCCTCAGTCTCCTTGTAGACTCTTCTGTCTCTACTTGGCCATTAAATGGTCAAATTCCTTATGCCTTGGTCCTGGAATATTCTTTAATACAGCTGCTCATTAAAATGTACCACTCCCTCTTAGCTGCAGAACTCTGACTTCAGCTGTTTCCCTGACCTCTCCACCAGGAAGACTCAAAAAAGCTCTTCAAGATTGAAATGTCCCAAACCTCATGCAACATCTCCCCCCCCCTTTGCAAATCTGGTCCCTATCACCCCCTCAACTGTGAGGATAACACCTTAGTTCCACAGCTAGGATCGAAGGAGTCATTCTTGACACTTCCTTTCTCACAGATACCTCATGGCTGACCCACCACCAAGTACTTATATTTCCATCCTACATATCCCCAGAGCTGTCCACCTCTGTCCACCTCCATGGCCACACTCCTCGTCCTAGCTACCCTCTTCTGTAGCTGAGCTGCTACAATCACTTGCCCCTGGTACAGCCACATCTGATCTAGGCTAATCTATTCTGGTCTCTTTAAAACCCAAAGCAGATCTCATCATTCCTTGCTTAAAATCCTTCAATGCCTGCTCATTGCCCATTTGAAAAAGTCCAAAATTCTTACCTCAGCCATCAAGGGCCATCAGTACCATCCTTACCTTCCAGTCTTATCTCACACAACCCCATCCTTAAGTCTCTGCACTCATGCCTCATGGGCCTTCATCAGTCTCTTAAACGCAAGCTGTGTTCCATCACAGACGCTTCGCACATGCTCTTCCCTTTTCCTAGAGCTCTGTTCCCCTCCACCCTCTTCACCCAGTGAATTCATACTCATCCTTCAGATCCCTGCATGAATGCTGCGTCTTCAGGGAAGCACTTGGCCCGTCAGTTCAAAACTCTGTGCACACATTTCTGTTGTAGCCCTAGTCACAGAGTATAGACGTGTGTGTAGTCGTACATGATCCGTAACTCCCCGCAAGACTGCAACCACTGGAGCACCAGCACCATGTCCGCTTTGGTCCCTCCGTCCCCCAACACCTAGCACAGTGCCTGGCACAGAGCAACCCTCAATTAAGTATCTGTTGGATGACAACATGGGATGGAGACTCAGAACCTCCCCGCCCCTCATGATGGTCCTCCTGGTGCTTCCACAGGTTCTTGGGGTCCCATGAAACACACTATGAAAACCACCCTTTTCCAGATGGGGTGGATGAGGCCCCTCCCCTAAGAGTCTCAAAGATGATGATGGGGAAAGAGCACAAGGGGACCCTGGAGATCCTGAATCCTCATCTGGGGTTCTGTCTTCTACTCCACACAGGTCACCTGAGCCTGCAACTTCATCTCCACCTCTCAGCGCTGTGCCAGCTCCTATCTCCAAGTACTTGCCATGTGCCATGCACTACACCCAGGCACCTCGTGTATGTCTTCCAGCAATGCTATGGTGGGGGAAGGCTCAGATTATAAAGCCCACCCTACAGATGAGGAAGCTGAGGCACAGAGAGGCTAAATACTGCCCACAAGCATACAGCTGCTGAGTGGCAGTGATCAGGATCAAACCCGGACAGCTGGGGTCCAAGTCCAAATCCATCCAGGTCCAACATCTGGGCTCCTCCCACTTTCCCAACCAGCAGATAAAAGGCTGCCTTGTGGAGAAGGGACCAGGACCGTGCTTCCCTCATGATCTGGGCCATCCCCTCCTGGCTCAGGGGGATGAGGTGGCTCTGATGCATGAGCTCCACACACAGTGGCCAGCTCTACCCAGTGTACTTCCAAAGGGGTTCCTAGGAGGGAGACAGATGGGCAGCTTAGGGATGAGCTGCCTGGATGCAGAGAGCCTAACAGTTGAAAGAACACTGAAAAACCAACTGTTGCTTATTTAATTAAAATCATTTATTAAAATGGAATCCAAGAGGGGCGCCTGGGTGGCTCAGTCGGTTAAGTGTTTGACTTTAGCTCAGATCATGATCTCAGGGTCCTGGGATCGAGCCCTGTGTTGGGCTCCCTGCTCAGTGGGGAGCCCGCTTCTCCCTCTCCCTCTCCTTCCACCCTTCCCCCCTGCTCCTGCTCTCTCTGTCAAATAAATAAATAAAATCTTTAAAACAATTAAAAATAAAATAAAATGGAATCCAAGAAAGAAAAGCTACTTCAAAAACTACAAGAGACTGCAAAATGTGGTAGAAGAAGAATCCAGCATCTCAGGAAGCCTCTGTGGTAGAGGGCACTGTTTGTGCACATTGCCTCCTCCCCTCCCCACCTTCACCATGGTTCATGGCGGGCAGAATGTAATCCCAGGGACTTTGGGCTCAGCCACGCAACTTGCTTTGGCCAACAGAACTTCAGCATGTAAGGGAAGACATGAGGTGGTAAGAGGGGTGGCAAGTTTCTACCAGACCCTTCTTGCACTTCTGCCATCTGCTAGAAGGGCATGGTTGAGCTGGTCATTGGTTCCACGGTGGGAGCTCCACAGTGCCCGTCCGAACCCAACGCACATCCTGAAGCAGACTCACTCCATCCTGCTCCTAGTCCCTCAGATCCTTGATCAAGAAAAACAAGTGATGCTTGAAGTTTAGGGACTGTTCGTTATGCAGCGTTATCCCAGCATTACGGCATCAACACTGACCAATACAACCACTTCCCCACTGTGTCACCTTCAGCAACTTGTTTCAGCCTCTACTTCCCCATCTTTCACCATAACACCTATATCCCTGGTTCCAAAACTTCAGCCATGTGCACACCAGGTTCAGGAATATTTTGCTTTATCTCCCTACAATCCATATTATTCTTTCCTTAATACCTTCCTTTAAATCAGCTCACAGTTTCTAAAAATTTAAATGTTAATTTCAATCTCACCCTATGCAATAATACCCATGATGTGCTAATTATTTATCTTCAAATGCATCAAAATAATTTAAACTTTCAAATGTCTGTATTGCCTATAAAATCCTCTTCGTACCACCAGTGGTACAGCCTTGTGGTAGGTTGTGGTGAGGATTACACTAACTGGTCCCCTGAGCAAAGTGCCTGGTGTAGATTGAGACCATGGTGGTGCTGCTGCTGCCGGTAAATGAACTGAAGTCACTGCCCATGTGCCCAAGGCAGGGGTACAACTCACTGATCATCGTGGTCCCGCCTGCCAGTGCGGCCCTGGTCCCTTGGAAGAAGTCATCGGCAGCGGTCATCCCCTGGGACGGCTTCTGCAGGTACGTGTTGACATCGATACCTCCGGGAATCACCATCCGCCCATTGGCCTCGATGGTCTTCACTCCACCAGGAACTATTAAGTTCTCTCCTATTTGTCTGGAAACAAACAGAAATGGCCTTTGGTTCTTAAAAGAAAAACAAGATGGCAGCCCACTGTGTGGCTTCAGTTCCATTAGGTAAACATTTCTGAGCCATGTCCTAGGCAGGGCACTGAGTAGACAGAGAATGCTCAGGCAGGACTCCTGCCCCTGAGGGGCTCACAGCCTAATGAGGAGGAGAGGCACGCAGGCAGATGGGTAACAATGCAGTACAGCAGAGGGGTGGGGAGTATAAGGTGGGCTGCTTCACTAGCCCGGGAATCTGGGGAGGCTTCCAGGGGGAGGTGGTGGCAAAGGGGTCTCAGAATAGCCTGTCACTCCAGAGTTCTTCGCACACTTTTGTCAACCACTTCGAGGATCCAGATTGCAGGAGACAGAGCGTAAAGTCCCCTTAGCTCTGCAGACTGTGAGAGGTAGTGCTACAGGCTGAAGTGGGACCCTCTCAAAAGCTGTATGTTGATGCTCTAACCCCAGGGACCTCAGCATGTGACTGTATTTGAGGCCTGGGCCTTTACAGAGACAATTACAGTAAAGTCAGGCTGTCAGGGGGGGCCCTAATCCAATAGGACTGGTGTCTTTGTAAGAAGAGATCAGGACACAGACCCGTACAGAGTTAACCAGGTGAGGACACGAGGAGAAGACCACCAGCCACACGCCAAGGAGAGAGGCCTCAAAGAAGCCAACCCTGTTGACATCCTGATCTCAGACTTCCAGCCTCCAGACCCATGAGAGAATCAACGTCTGTTGTTTCAACTGCCCAGTGTGTGCGGTACGTTCTTACACCAGCCAGGGCAAGCTAAGACAGACAGGCGCCCAGCATTCTTGTTTTAGCTGTCCTGAGCACCGACCTCAGGAAAGCTGCTTAACCGTCCAGTACCCACAAGAAAAAGCCACTAACATCATAACTCCTGCCTGGAGGGAATCACACTGGGGAGAGCAGACTTTTTCTGAACATGCTGACCCTCCCTTCTGTTCCCCAATGTGCTAGGCACCTGCGAACTTCCGCCAGAAGGAGGAAAAATTCCAAAGAGAGGAAGAAGGGAGCAGAGCCTAAGAAATTGGAAGCCTTTGTCCCATGTGGTGGCGGCTGTGTTTCATCTGTTGGAACCAGAGTCGGGAGACACATGGGGGGCAGAGGGGAGGCTCAGCCAGAACCAGGACAGAGATGACAGCCTCCAAGGTCAACGCCGGGCGAAGACCAGTAGACCTGAACATGAGCAATTTTTATTAAAAAAAAAAAAAATACAGTTGCTCTGAACGCTTCAGATGAGGCAACAATATTCTAAGTCACAGAAAAACAACCGTAATGAAGATACAGGCAAGTGCTACTTCAGGGACCACCATGTCAGGCCCCAAACAGAATCTACACCCGAGCAGCCGAAGCAGACGCTCCTGGATCCTCCGGACCCCTGGGCAGGGCTGGTCCAGGCAAGCTGTGGGGGAAGGGGGGACAGAGGGCTCCACTTGGGGCTCTCCCACAGAATCGGGGCATCGCGCACTGTCCTGAAACCGGAAATAAGTCTAGCAAGAGCATGGTGCCGGGGACCACGACCGAGACCACGCCCACAAGCTCAGCACTGCTGCTTCTAATGCCAGTGTCCCCTCTGTCATCTCCATCTTGATTTGCAGACATCCTGCCTTGCCCGATCCCCCTACTAAACACATGGAGATACGTCAGGAGCAGAAGAGCAAGGGATCCAGGAGGAGACGCCCCCAAACCTTCCAGCAGGAGCAGGTCACCCCTGAGCACCGGCTTTTCTAAGCACTTTGCAGATCATCTCATTTCATGCTTCAACTGGCTTTCCAAGAAGACGGGATAATGTTCAAGTGTTTAATGGGGGCAAAGGCTTGGGCGTGACCCAGAGTGGGCATGGGCCATACACTCGGCACAGCCCCACACGTGGGTATCTGCAGTCTGACTGGGAGTGTGCCTCAGTCACCATGCCAACAAGTACTGCTGTTCGGGGCCCATTTTCAAGGCATGACAGTCACCTCTCTTTACGGGAAGTAAACACATTCTGCAAAAGAGGAAAATGGAATTCAGAGAGGTACGGTGCCTTGCTCAAGGCTGCACAGCAAGTCAGTGGTGGGTCTGGACTCAAGCCAGGTCCCCCCCCCCCAAGTCTAATATAACATCTAGGCTCTGCCCACCAGCCTTACCTGCCTTCCTGCTTCCCTTACATAGAAGGAGCAGATTCTCCCCAAACTGGGACTGACCCAGACGGAACCGCCAGTGCACTAGGAGGAAGAATCCAGATGGTTCTCAATGGCAGTGTGTGTAGAACAGGAGGCTCTGTGAGTTAGCCAGACACCTCATCCCTGCACCCCAACACCTCCCCCGCCCTACGCACAAGTGCTCAGTGGCCAGTGTTTGAGTCACCAGCACTTGCAAACTGGATGGAACCCTCAGTGAATCCTAACAGATGCAGCACAAACCCAGCTGACAAGCTTTTAGGAAAACTTGGCAAATGACCACGAAAGAGAATTCTTGGGGTTCAATCAAAGTGAAGGAGCATAACTGAGCCTCCTGGGGTCAGTACAGTGGCCCCTCTGGGTCTCAGCCCTCCCACACCTCCTCCCCAGCCAGCAGGGGTTCGTCCTCCAAATGACCATCCGGAGACTCGCTCTGCTGGGCGGGGTAGGGGGAGGAGCAACAGAGTCAAATAAAAAGGGGTTTCTGACTAAGAGGAGCTGAGAAATAATGAATTTGTGGACACTGCATATTTCCTGAACAACACAATCCACCGAAGTCCCTAAGACTCCGGGTGTTCACTCATACAGCAAGCACTTAATAAATGCAGCTTGGCCAGTGAGCTCTTGTTTCATGTATACACATCCTGGACTGCACGGCTCTTGGGGAGCCAACCTCAATCCCACATGACCGGTGGGTAGGTGGTCCTGCAAAAGCATCAGCATCCTTTACCTCCCACGTCCCAGAACCCCGAGGCCCCACAAACCAGAGTTCACCCCAGAGTGGTTGTCTCCGTACCTAAGCAGGGAGTTGACTAGAAACCTCACCACCCCGACCAACTCTGCCTCTCTCCCTCTGATTCCAAGACCAAGGTCCTGCCACCTGACAGGTCAGGACTCTTCTGCTACACTTCCTGTCAATACTCCCAGTACCTCTCGTATCCGGCATTGTGCCAGGCCCCGGGTGCAGAGGCCCTAAGGCAAGGTCCCTAGTCTGGGGCAAATGCAGCATGAGGAGTGTGGGGCCGGGCACACAGGCTGGCCAACAGAGTCATGGGGGTCAGGGAAGGCTTCCTGGAGGAGCCACACAAGCTGGACCCACAGGACAAACAGGCGTTGGGGAGCCAGGGGGGGAGGGGGGCAGAGAAATGAGAATGCGGGGTGGGGCAAGGTGTTCCAGGCAGAGGATTTATGGGTGCAAGGTTCCAAGTAGAGCTGCTGGGCTAGTTCTGCGGGTACTACGCTTTCAGAGTGGCTGGGAAGAAGCGAAGAGGAGGGAATCCACTGGAGGAACAGAGGCTTGGGCTGGACTTGAAATGGTCGGAGTCTGGGACTGGATTTGGGGTGGGTAGAGGGAGGCAGAGAAGGCCTCCATGCTCTCCTGAGCTCCTCACTGGACATGCCCTGGGCGTGGTCTCTCAGTGCTCACAGCCATCCACAGCCCCCTCTCATCCCCCTCCTCCCTTCCTCCCTCCTCCTTCCTTCCTTCAGCCTTCCCCCCCTCCTCCCCCCCTCCCTCCCCCTCCTCCCCCTCCTCCTCATCAAAGTCCACATAGGCACCAGTTAGTCCTGTTAATAGACCCCATTCCTGCTTGACCTTCTCCTCGCTCTCACTCCCCTCTGCCTTTCCTTCCTGTGCCAGCAGCCCAGGCTGGGTACTGAGACAGTCTCTTGCTCCTACTCTTCCCGACTCCAGGGGAACTCGCTGAGCAGCCAGCGAATCCAGGGCACTCAGCATGTGAAAGAAAGAGAGCTGAACCTCTCCATTACTAGCCGGTAAAATGTGGAGGCCACATCAACCCACTGTCTGGTGTTGTGGACTGAGCTGGGATCCCCCAAACTTATATGTTGAAGCCCTGACCCCCAGCATCTCAGAATGTGACTGTATTTGGAGATGGGGCTTTTAAAGAAGTGACTGAATCAAAACGAGGCCATTAGGGTGGGGCCCTGAGCCAGTAGGACTGGTGTCCTGTGCACATGCGCACAGAGGGATGCCCTTGTGAGTGCAGAGTGAGAAGCCACAGTCCACAAGCCAAGGAGAGAGAGATCGCAGAAGATCCCTGCCAGCACCCTGATCCAGGACTTACAGCCTCCAGTCTCGGAGAAGTTAACTTCTATTGTTTCAGCTGCCCAGCCTGGGTTTTGTTTTATCACAGTGACTGAGCAGATGGAATGCACCCGGATGTCACAGCCAGAGAGGAGGCCAATAGGGAGACAGAAAGTGCAGGAAGCCTCTGGCCCAATGCAGGCCATGGCCCTGTCCTAACATTCTTCCTTTCTCTCCTTGCTCCCCCCACCCAATCCAGAAATTGTGGAAAGGTAGAAGAAAGAGCCGTGAATTCAGTCCTGTGTACTAGGTAGGCATCTGCCCCTTGCCCCCAGCTGACAATGGGGGTCAGCTCTTGGACCTCACTGGCCGGCCGTGTGCACGTCACACCCCCCTGTGCCTCTGATGGCCTGCAAAGGCTGGTGCGGCAGGAACGCTCCAGAATCTCTAGTCCCTTCCCCACCTGTAGTTTGGACCTCTCTAAATCTCTGCATCCCTGATACTGACAGCACAGTCATTCTGGGACAGAACTCTAAGGGCCTGGCAGCCTAGGGAGACTGGCATCTTTTTTTTTTTTTTAAGATTTATTTATTTATTTGAGAGAGAGAGACAGAGAGAGCAAGCAGGAGACAGAAACAAGCAGACTCCCCACTGAGCAGGGAGCCCAATGCGGGGCTCAATCTCACGACCTTGAGATTGTGACCTGAGCCAAAATCAAGAGTTAGACGCTCAAGCGACCAAGCCATCCCAGCACCCCAAGACTGGCTTCTTAAAAGGTATGTTTTGGAGATGCCTGGCAGGCTCAGTAAGGGGAGCATGCAACTCTTGATCTCAAGGTTTTAAGTTTGAGCCCCACACTGGGTGTAGAGATTACTTAAAAAATAAAATCTTTCAAAAAAAGGAAAAAAGTGTGTTTTGATCAACCTACTTTATAAGTCCATCTTCCAGGTAGACGTCAGCATAGAAGGATTGGTCATCGTTGATGATCCGTCCACCTTTGATGAGGAGTCGGTCACTCTGAAAAGCCAAGCAAAGTATTAAGTGTCACTGGGGAAAAGCCGAGAATTTTTTTTAACTTTTAATATAAAATTATCCAAATATTTTCAAAAGTAAAGAAATGGGATAAAAAAGCCCCCTCACATCCATCACCCAGACTCAAAAGCTTCAATACTTGGCCATTCACACTCCACCTATTCCAACCCCTCCCCCAACACTTCTGTTTTGTTTTTGCTGAGATATTGTAAAATAAACCCCAAATATCGTACCCCGCCACCTGGAAATACTTCAGGATATGTCTCCAAACATTAAGGAGTTTTTAAATAAACAGAACCACAATCCATCATCTCAGCGGACCCAATTAACAGTAATTCCTTCCTATGAGTTAACAGCCCATGCTCAATTTTACTTGGTTTTACAGTGGGAGGTTCGAGTGGGGCTCCGTCCTCAGTCCCCACTCTGCATCTGGCTCTCTGCAGTCTGCCGAGATCTATACCAGCCCTCCCGCCCCTCTGATGCCCTTCATTTGTTGAAGAAACTAGGTCATTCATAGAACAGGAGTTTATTAGGGCATTATTACTGAATACAATAAAACCCAATTTAGAGACCTTTTAAAAGCTACTAGAGACTATAAAATAAACACAACTCCCCCAGAACCACCTCCAGTCAAACGTCTGAGGTTTCTCTCCACCGTTTTCCTTGATTCCCCATGGTTGTGATCACAGTGCGTGCATCCATCCACTCATCCATGCCCCCGTTATGTGCTGGCTCCCCACCTCAGCTCCCAGCACAGGGACAGGCCCTGTGGAGCCAGGAGGAAGCCTCTGCCCTTCCTGGAGCAGATGGAAGGAGAGGCAGAGGCTTAATAAGCCATGGGTTTACAGGGTTACAAGAGAAGGGAAGGGTGCCCGCCATGGGAGCAAAGTGAAGGAGCTGCTAGACTTACCAGGGGCCAGGCAAGGCCAGCTCACACCTAAAAAAGTAAGTCAAGATGAATTGTTCCAAACAAGCAGTGGGGATGAAGGCCAAGGAGGGCGAACCTTCAGTGTCTGGACAGAGAGAACTGGTAGCCAAGGCCCAGAGGCCACAAAAAACACAGCAAATTCTAGGACCCAAAAAGAACACAACTGTGTCCTTTGTGCATTGTATCATAAAAGTGTCCCCAAGTTACTACATGTTCTTCATCACTGCAAGTGACTACAAAATATTCCATCTTACGGATACACAATAAACTGTTTAATGACCCCCCTACTGTTGGACACTTATTTTCGATTTTTCACAATGGTACGTATTGCTGCAATGATCATTTCTGCACACAAAGCTTTTCGCTCAGCTTGAATGCTTAGGGTCAATTCCCAGACCGTAACAACTCAGTCCAACAGTATAAACCTTCTTTATGGCCCTTGATAAATATGACCAGATAGCTTCCCAAAAGGACTGCCCTGATTTGCCATGCATAAAATCAGCAAGCACCCTTGGTTGTCATTAATATTCGTTAATTTGCATTTCTTGACGGCTGAGAATTGTTTTGCCCTGTGCTTATTTATACTTGTACCATCTCCTAGCTGGAGATGTAGTGATGAATAAAAAACACAGCCTCTGTCCTTAAGCTCCAGCCACTGCGTAGGGAGAGAGAGAGTAAACAGTAACAATTCAGGGTAGACACTTCCAAGAGTGTCTTCCGTGGGTTTCCCTGAAAGCAGAGCCTGAGACAAGGATGAGAGGCAGATAGTGTCTTTGGGAGGTGACTGCACAAACTGGAGTGAGGAAGTAGGGAGAGGCAGACAGGCACGCAAATCCCATACAGAGTGTCCACCGATCTGGCGAACATGGGTTAACTGGGGCTAGATCCCAGCAGGACCCTCTGAGGAACTGTACGGAATGCACCTCAGAGTGGTCCCAGTGGTCCCATGGCATCAGTCATGAGAGGAAGACAGAATACTGTACAAGTCCAGAGAAGAAGGGTCAACCCACACTCAAGAATCAGGGAAGGTTCGCTGAGCAGAAACAGGGCATGCAGCCTGCCACTCAGGACCCTCTAGTGGTGTCATGCATCAGCCCTGTATTTCCTTTAGAGTGAAAGCCAAGTCAGTGAGACCCAATGTAATCTGGAATCCCACTACCCAGGCAACATTCACGCTCTCACTTGCTTCAGGTGTCTGTTCAATTTCTCTTACCTGAGAGCCCCCCTCCCCAATGGCTGCCCTATCTGGAACACTGGACACCTCTGCCCTACCAGCAAACCCCATACCTCTGCCCATTCTGTTTCATAGTACCAACTACAGTACATCCCACACACTATATATTCACACTGTTTGTCTAAAAGGTGACTTGCTCACGGACATCAGAGCTGTGGTGCTTCCCCACTGACAGTGTCAGACACACTCATGGGGGACTCCTGCATACATGCTGATGTGGCTACTAGTGCCAACTGCAAAGGTGCCCTGCAGCTGTCCTTACAAGACCATTAGCTTCATGGGGGTAAAGATTTCATCCATTTTCACTCTGCATCTCTGATACTCGGACACAGCCTGGCTGGTTGGCTGGCTGACTGGCTGGCTGGATGGACAGATGGATGGATGGACGGATGGATGGATGGCTGGATGGACGGACGGATGGACGGATGGATGGATGGTTGGATGGTTGGATGGATGGATGGATGGATGGATGGACGGACGGACGGACGGACGGACGGATGGATGGATGGATGGATGGATGGATAGATGGACAGATGGATGGATGGATGGATGGATGGATAGATGGACAGATGGATGGATGGATGGATGGATGGATGGATGGATGGATGGATGGATGGATGGACGGATGGACAGATGGATGCATAGATGGAAGGGTGGATGGATGGATGGATGGATGGATGGATGGATGGATGGATGGATGGATGGACAGATGGATGGATGGATGGATGGATGGATGGATGGATGGATGGATAGATGGACAGATGGTTGGATGGATGGATGGATGCATAGATGGAAGGGTGGATGGATGGATGGACAGATGGATGGAGGGGTGGACAGATAGATGGGTCCCTGAAGTGATTCTTGAAGGCTGAATAGTTTAAGATGGAGAGCAAAAGTATCACAACCATGAGACAAGAAACTATGAGCCATAAGACAAGGAAGAGAAGTATGAACTAGCATATCCTGCTCCCCAGCAGGAGGGTCTCTGGCTTCAAGCTCACCAGTCCCTACACGCTGTCTCTTAGCCCTAAGATAGAAGCCAGCCACAATTTGCACATTCCCAGAGAGGATACTCCAGGACCAAGGGAAAGAGGAGATGTGGGCTCTACATATCCAGAAGCAGAGACAAGCTGGTATGCAGGTTTTCCCGGGCACTAGAAAGCAGGGAAATGTGAGTCATCAGCAGCAGCTGGTGCACGGCTTCCAGAACCTGGCACCCCAAGGGCAGCCGTCTGCCTTGTCACATTTAATAGAGGGCTATACAGGCTCAGCCTGAAAGGTGGTATTTAAAGCACTGTGCACCAGAAGATCAGCCCTACCCTGCTCTTCCTAGAATCAGATGGGTGCAGTTTGTGTTCAAATCCACCTCCTCCCCAACTACTGACAGACCGTGTGTGTAGCTATTGCAAGGGGTCCCTTCCGGTGTTCTCAGGGGCAAGTGTCTTTTTAAACCAGCATGTCCACAATGAGGCAAGAGTTGATGTGACTTCCTCCTTTTCTTCCTTAACACTAGCAGTGCCTTTGCCTTTTAATTGGCATTTTCAGAATCATGTTCTTTGGAACTCTAGCACAGAGGGGTTTAAGTGGATGCTATTCCCAAAGGGGATTCCCAGGTGTAGTGAATTTAGAAAATTCTGGATTTAGCAGAAACAAAGATTATCTCTATAAAACAGGAATACCCAGATCCTTTACTTTGTTTACGTGTAATGTGAAAATGCAAGAGGAGAGCTGAATTTACATCTTTTCCAAACATAGATCCCTTTGTGGTATGGAAAATTTGACAAAGATACTTTCCCCAGACAATACCTTAAGAATTGTGCTTTACGAGAGTTAGGCCTTCCAAGCCTGTTGGCACTGAGTGGGTTCTTTTTTTTTTTTTTTTTTTAAAGATTTATTTATTTATTTGAGAGAGCGAGAATGAGAGAGAGTACCTGAGAGGGGGGAGGGTCAGAGGGAGAAGCAGGCTCCTCGCGGAGCAGGGAGCCCGATGCGGGACTCAATCCCGGGACTCCAGGATCATGACCTGAGCCGAAGGCAGTTGCCCAACCAACTGAGCCACCCAGGTGCCCCGGCACTGAGTGGTTCTTCTGGAATGTTAGTTCCAATCTGACCTCAGATGGACACGGGGCTTCAAGATGGGGTGGCCTCCCACGTTCACACAACTAATAGGGGTCTAGGGTAGACCCAACGTTCCCTAACTTCCTGCCTAGCACTGGTTCCATCAAACACCCTTCTGTCATATCTTAAAACATTTTCACACTCTAGAATCCATGACACCCATAATCAAACGCAATTTAGAAAGGACCAGAGGTCTGTGACCCAAGGACCCAGCATTCTAGGGCTCCCTTTCTTCACACAGGAAATCTGAGTGTAAGATCTCACACCAAGAAGAGCGAATTTGATGGTACATAATTTTTAAGAATTTAACAAAGTAAAATCACACATTTAAAAGAAAATTAATGATACCCTGCCTCTCACAAATAGCATATATGAAAAATGACAAGCTCTGTAGAACAACCAGTGTTTAAGTACTTGGAAGAAAATGAAATATTTAATCAAAAATTCAACAAAAGTCTAAGAGCAGGGTATGCCAGAGACTGCCATTCATTCCACGGTGACAGCAGTGACCTAAAGTGAATTATGCTCAGCATGGCTCATGTCCTTGGATCAGTGTCATGGAGGAACAGAATGTCCAGAGTCAGATACAAGTTCCAATCTCTGCCCACTTGTTATCCATGTGAATTAACACCTTCTAGACTTAGTTTTCCCATCTGCAAATGGGCACCGTCCCTGCCTCATAAGACTGTTAGTGAAGTCCATGAC